ATATATATATATATATATATATATATATAAACATTAACACTCATAACTCTAAACATAATTTTAAATCTACACATTTTCACAACACTGATGGCTATATGCACTTTCATACAGAATACTTTTTCTAAGATATTTTAATTAGTATTTTGTCATATAGTGTCACTAGAAATTGCATCATTCCTCTTTCGCGAGGATCCAGACCGGAAGTCTACTTATGTCCTCTTTGTGTGGGCGTAATTTGAAAATTTTTTATTAAGCAGAAACCATTTTTCTAATTTTTTTCGAACACATGGACTATTTATTGTAAAAAAAATTGCACAATGACATTTTTTTTTTAAATTAAACGGACAGTTTTGTAATTTATATTATGCATATAGACCAAACTTGCCAACATACGAAAGTCTTGTGACCAAAGTCTCATACCTAGAGAGTATATTATTTGAATATATGAACCATTTTTGTAAAAAAGAAAAAAAAATACAAATGAACATTTTCTGTAAACTATATGGACAACTGTTGTAAATTATTTTCTACATTGGAACCAAAACCGCCAACATACAAAAGTATTGTGGCCAAAATCTAAAACCTAAATGTAAAAAAAAAATGCATAGAGGTCTTTTATGTAAATTATAAGGACAACTTTTATAATTTATTTTATACATAGAGACCAAACCTGCCAATATATGAAACTATTGTGGCTAAAGTCTAAAAATAAAAAATTTACTATTCGTACATATAACTAGGATTTGCTACTTCGTTGCGAAATTCCGTAAATCGTTGCAAATCCTCTATTTTGTCTATAAAAGTTATAGAAGTTTCATAGTTAATGAATTAATATATACACACTAAACTATAATTTTTTTGGACAAGTGATTATCATAAATACACTAACAAAAAGCTAGAACATGAAAAATAATAAAAATAGTTAAGTGGACTTTGAAGCCAAAGAACTCACTTTAGAACTCATCTTTATTTTACATGGAATGGTAATGAGAATCTGAAGTAGCTGTTCAAAGTACTCCAGATTCAAGATAATAGATTCAACAACTGTTTTCTTGGGGTTGGCTATTCGAAGTAAGTCTACCTAAACAATCAGCCCTGCAGTGATACTAGTACCTCTCAGAACATACAACTGAATCCACCCAAAAATCAAATTCCAAGTTTTAGTTTCATACACCGCAAGGGACAAATAACAAAGAGCACATCAATGTCTTTAGAAACCATATTCGGTCTGATAGGTAGTGGATTCAATAACAATCGGCAAGCAAAAATATTTACCTTCCTAGGCACAAAAGAACACCATCTACTAACCCTATTTCCCTCAGAAAGCAAGAAGTCATCAATGTGTTTTTAGTAACGTTTACTGTCAATTCATCATTATCACACAAGTCCCAAACCCAACGATCGATTTGCGAAGTCACATGAACATCAACTAAAAAGCTCTCATTTAATCAAATTAACGAGATTCAACACCACTTATCACCTACCGACATCAATTCTCAACCCATTAATTATTTATATAACAATTCTCATCTCAATCAAGATAGAGAATTCTAGGAAATATATCTCTAAGAAGAATGTTTCCCACCCAAGTCTCATTCCAAAAGACTACATGTCACCAACTTTTTTACGCAAATTTAAGTGTAGAGTAATGCTTTTTTCATGCAGCCTGTTCACCAAGGCCATAATCCTCGCCAAACACCATGGCCTCTGACTTGACCTGCCCTCATAAGGACACCCGTTTTCCTGTCATGCACAACCTTCATATCTATTAGAAAATCGCCACAAACATATATGAAGAAGAACATAATTAAATCCCACAAAACTGCCAATTCTAATCATATTTTTATCTTTTGAATCAATGACTAAATCCCATTTACCCCAAGATACCTTTTGTCACTATCGTCTCCACCCTAGAAAAGTTTGCTCTAAATGATTTTGAAGTGTCTTTAACTTGAACTAACATCAATACAATAACATAAAATAAATTCCAAAGTTTGATATGAGCGACTCTAAAATGTGTTTAACTTAAACTAAACTGTAATTATATATTTTCTTTCAAATATCTTCGCTCCCAAAAAATGTCTACCATGTGATCTAATAACATTGTTAAAAACAAATTGAGTTGCAAACACTTCCAATAATACTACTTACCAACAAAGGTGAATATCATTGTGAAGGCTATGATTCTTTTTATTCATTTCACACTTCATTTCCCAAATTTTCCCTAGAGGATACGTATTTTGATTGAGGTATAAAAATACCACCGACAATGCCCGATTATATAAAAATATGAAGCTACTATTTAGAGCTATGAAAAAGTCAACTAGAGACCGGAACGCCAAAAATACAAGGAAATTATTGCATTCAAAGACAACAAAGTATAGGTAAATTAAATTTTGGTGCACCGATTGTTATAAAACAATACTATTAGGCTGGAGGGAGTGGTGTCACACTCCCTCATTTTACCACACTCCCTTACCACACTCAAGGAGTGGTATACCATGAAGAGAGGAAAGAGAAAGAAGAGAGAGATAGAGGGAGGGAGGAAGAGAGAGAGAGAGAGAGAGAGAGGAGCCTTCCCAAGAATGGCCGCACTCCCAAACCGCATAGAGGGGGCGGTGTTCCCTATGCCACGTAGGCGCCATGTCATCCTTACCGCACTCCACTCCCTCTAGTCTTATTGCCGGACCAAATGCCTTTTGGTTGTGTATAATTGCTATCATTCATGAATTTATTTTTCATTTGTCTTAGATTTGTTTTTTTCTTTGACATAACCTTTTGTTTGGAATGTCATCGCTTGTGTTTTGCAACACTCATAGCATTTAATTTAGTAACTTATTTAACAATGAAAATAATTCGTTGTCCAAATTACCTTAAATATTATCACTACCTGTTAAATACCAGTTAATTAACTTTTTTCTTAAAAAAAGTTGATTTCAAAATACGTTTCTAAAATAAAAATCATGTTTTGCGTGTGGACGATGGGAAATTGGTAAAATAGTTGGTGCGTCCCACTAAAATGGATATTGATAATGCTTAACTTTGGTCGCTATAAATATTCCATAACGACATTAGCTATCTCTCCTTCGCACAAGAACAAGATGGGCCCGAGTCTTTTGGACGCACTCAATGTCAGAGTAGTCGGCTCCGGCAAGAAATTCATGGTTCTCGCCCACGGATTGGGCACCGATCAGTCTGTGTGGAGTCGCATTCTCCCTTACTTCCGTACTCACTACAGAGTCATCCTCTACGACCTTGCCTTCGCCGGCAGCGTCAACCCTGATTACTTCGATTTCAATCGCTACAACTCTCTAGACGCTTATGTCGACGACCTTCTTCAAATCCTTGACTCTCTCGGCGTCGATCGGTGCTTTTACGTCGGTCATTCACTTTCGTCGATGATCGGAATCCTTGCGGCGATTCGTCGACCTGAGCTCTTCTCCAAGCTCATCCTCATCGGCGCTTCTCCAAGGTATCCTCGAATTATGTTTAAATCTGTTACGGATATGAAGATCTGTGGAATTCATGTTAATGTTGTTCTCCTATCAATTAAAATTCGGCTAGTTAGATCAAAATGATAATAGAAAACGAATTTGTTCGGTTTGAATTTTGGAATAATTGTTTCCGACAAATAGAACAAATTCTTCCAATGAACTGCTGGAAATTCCGAGGCTATATTAAATTATCATCTGCTTTGATTCATTGGCATCTCATTTGCTTTTAATTTCGAACATACATGTTGATTATTACTGGAGGATGAACTGATCTTTGACCTAACTTCAGGTTCTTAAACGATAAAGATTACCACGGCGGATTCGAAGCAGGCGAGGTGGAGAAGGTTTTCCTAGCAATGGAGTCGAACTACGAGGCATGGGTGAACGGATTCGCTCCTTTAGCAGTCGGTGCCGATGTACCGGCAGCTGTACGCGAATTCAGCCGGACGTTGTTCAACATGAGGCCGGACATTTCACTCTTCGTTTCTCGGACGGTGTTCAACAGCGATTTAAGAGGAGTACTTGGCCTAGTGAGGGTGCCGTGTTGCATAATTCAAACGGCAAAAGACGTATCTGTACCGACTTCGGTGGCGACGTACTTAAAGGAACACCTTGGAGGGCGGAACACGGTGGAGATGATGAACGTGGAAGGCCATTTGCCTCATCTGAGCGCTCCGGCCTTGTTGGCCCATCATCTGAGTAGAGCACTTTCTAGATCATAATTTTTTTTATCGATGTTCTTTGTGGGCCTTCATGGGCCTAACTGAATGACTATCTATAGTTTTATCCACTTTTTAAGTTTAAGAATATTGGGGGAATATGGCTAAAGATGGTGACACCTGGCGAATAATTTGTGGACAATGGGGAAAAGGATAAGAAATGATCTTCACTGCTGACGTGTTCATCTAATTTTTATTTTGTTTTTCCTTTTCTCATGTGTCCGTACGAAAATCCAATATTTGAATTTACGTTCAAATTTATAAATAGTTTATTTCGGTTTTAATATATTATTTGAGAAAATTCTTAAATGAGAAAAATTTACCATTTTATAATTTAATAATAGATACCAACAAACAATCAATAAATTTAAAAAATTCATAGTAAATCATATACCAACTTAAAATTGACAGCAAATCAAATTGTCCACAATGTCAAAAATCGTACACCAAGAACAAATACCCAAACTACAACAGATTTCTGTTAAATTCAATACACAAAGACTACATGATACATGAACTTTACTCTTTGTGTTTTCATTCTCAAATGTCTTTACAAAAACATTTTTATTGCGTTTCTGTTCCACCACTTTTTTGGAACATGATTATACTAAGAAGAAAAAACGACAACTCAAACAAGAAGCTCGAATAAAATTACATGAAATATTTTAAAATCGGGAAAGAGCTCCAAATCACCCATTCAATGGAGCTACATTTAGATCGCCATTTAATCCAATTAAAAGAGTAATACTAATATCATCTGTCGTTAACATCATCGTCCGTATTTTTTTCCTAAAGAGAATAGAATTGCGTGCCTTCCAGATCATCCAAAGAGTAGTATAGACAATTAACAACCTCAATTTTTGCAACCTTTTACTTCCATCATTGTTGTTAAGTATATCTAATGATTTGTCACAAGAAGATGGTTGCACCTCTAAGCAAGAAGACCAATCCACCATCCTTTTCCATAGGTCCGGGTAAAAACAAAGAAATAAGATCTTTCAAATTTTAGAAAAAAAATATCTTTTTTAAAAACAAGAGATTTTATATATTAAACAACCAACAAAGCACTTACAAATACAAATACAAAAAAGTGAGAATGTTTTCCTAACCTTAAAGGAAAAATATTAGAAAAAACATCATAACTCTCCATATGTCAATAAACTTTAGGCTTTAATTTAAAATATGATCATCGGGTATTCAAAAAACACATTCACCAACAATAGCTAGATCCAAATCCAAAACACAATGACAATGAACAATTTAATCTTGCAAAGAGACATCAACTCAAGCCCATTTGAAAGAAAATATGAAACAATTTAATCTTGCAAAGAGACATCAACTCAAGCCCATTTGAAATAAAATATGAACGTCTTTATGAACAATACCATCATATTAATATCAACTTTATATATAAGCAAACAATAACATCAAACTTTGTCTTTTATCTTAAAAAAGACATTCAGTTTTGACATTTTTTCAGCCATCCAAAACAATAGTAGACCTAAATAAACGAAACCTATGAGCCCTTCTCGATCATCATTGATTGTTTTTGTTCCATGAATGAATTTGTAAAATTTTCCATATTTGCAACCACAAACTAATAAATAAAGCTGTAGAAAAATCAAGTATCAAATTTATTAATATTAATTACATCCAAACGTGATGAAAAAGAAGCCCAGGAGAAGTTGAACACAAATAAAAATTAAGTAAACAGTTTCGAACTCGAGCCTTCCGATTCAAACTCCACATTGCCTTAACGATCCTAGGTACAACAAACCATCCTAGATACAACCGTTTACATTTATTTGTTTCAACTCTTCTAATTTATATCGCTAAAACTATATATATATATATATATATATACACACACACACACATACACACACACACAAACTCACCGTCTGGGCCACGAGATTTGGCAAGGCCCGGGGAGGTCGCCTAGCTTGCCCTCCCTTCAGGACCGACCCTACATATGAGTGAAGCAAAAGAGGAACATGAGAATAAGACATGATACCTACATTCATCATTAACTCGATAGAAGGGACATAAGGATGAGGAAATCTAAACTCCACACTTGATCAGATTCAATGAAGTGGGAATTGTGTTTATAAACAATCGCAAAAACAAAACAGTTGACCTTTAAGAACATCCATTTCACCCATTCAAACGACTTCAAACAATCTTCATCAATGTTTTTAAACATAAGATCACAAAGAGATTTAACTGGAAAAATCAGGCTTTCATCAACACCCTTCCACCACCACATGTCACGCTTTTATAAAACTAAAAATCATCCAATAAGTTATTTAAATCATAGATTTGTCTAGACTCACGCCTTCTAAGATGTCTTGACCAACCCTAACAATAAAGAGAGACTTTTCCATCCTCATTAACAATCCTCTCCTTCACTAAACAATCATTCTTCTTATCAATCACATAAAGGTTGGGATAAATCTCTTTAAGAGCCGGTCACCAAACCAACAATCTTTCAAAAAGAAAGTTTTATCACTTTTACCAAAAATCTTTTTGAATAAGCTAGTTAACAAGATGCCCCTTGTTTAAACTCAGTGTCAATTTGAAAAATAGTAGACCAACCACCATTTTCTATTCAAAAATATCACAAATATTATTTTAAAATGAGCTTGTAACAACAACCATACAAAGAAGACTTGTCTTCTTGGAAATTGAAACGGTAAAAAGTTCATAACAAGTAGTTCTTTCAATTGTAATTCAAAATTCAAATAAGAGTGATTAAATAAATCAATTAAAAACTTCACCACCTTCTAAGAAAAGCATAAATTACGAGCTTAAAAATTGAAAAATATTCAAAGACTGTTATTTTAAATAGTTTAAAGGGATTAAATATTTTAAATGTAAAACCAAAATCATGTGAAATTAATTAAAAATACAAATTATTTTTATAACATCCGAAAATTTTGCAAATAAATAAAAATAACAATAGTTAAAAATAACATAAATAATAAATCATGCTATATTAGATTAAAAAATGATTGATATTTTAAATAATTATAATGATTAAAATTAAAAGAAAAGGTAAAATGAGTAATTTCCAAACTAAATAATCATAATGTTAAAAGTAAGAGTAAATGGATGTTTGAGATTGCTTATTTAAAATTTTTATTTGACAAACAACATTTGGGAGCTTTTAAATTTAATCTTTTGATATAATGTTCGATTTAAACAAAAAAAACATCGTTTGACAGTATAAGTTTCTAGTTTTTAGTTTATGCAAAACACTACAAATCTAAAACCATTCATGCAACATATAAGAAAAAACTTTTGAGCTTTTAGGATCAATTTCCATAAATGTCCTTAAAAATATATTTCTATATTTCTATTTTTTTATTAAAAAAATTGTCTTGTTTTATTATTTTACACATCAAAAGCTTTCAGATATTTTTGTCAAACACTTATATAAAAAATTAAAGCTACGGCTTCCAACTACCAGCCAAGAGTGTTACGTCCCAAAAATCATAAAGAGATTTTTAAATTTTAAAATAGCTTAATCAATTAAACATTTGTTTCAAAACCATTGAATAACATTTGATTGATTAAAAATCATACGTCATCAGACTTAAGTTTACAAAACCACGAAAACGAATATTATTGATACGTGTGTATAATTGTAACATACCATTTATTAAATAAACAAATAGATAAATTAATAAACGAATAGTAGTCCTAAAATCCATAATATTTAGCGGGGTGTTGGTTTTGAGGAGCCAAATGATATAATTTGGATTTTAGTGGGTTGAAGTGTAAATTCGGGATTTATTTTGTAAAGATTTTTAGAAGTCAGGGGGTGTTTGGTAAATATTGGACCTAGATTGAAATGAGTTTTGAATGTTGAGAGCTGAATTGGTAAATGTTGGATTTATGTTGAAAGGAATTAAGATGGAGGGGTTGGAAATGTAAACATGGGGGAAGTTGTATATAATCTGGCATATAAACCCGTCACCCATGCCATGTAACCCTAACCCTAAAAACTATACTCAGCTGCCACCCTCCTTCCCCTACCTCCAGCCGCCGCTACCAGCTCCGACCATTAGACACCACTGAACGCCCGCCGGTGACTCTTGTTGTCGGCGATAACAAAGACCGACGGGAACTTGCGAATGACGCTGCACCAGTTGAAGACCGGAGAGGAAGTTGACGTCGTGGTTGCCGTCGTTCGTGACTTTCCAGCCGCGGCCATCGTTGTCGAAGCTGGGAACCACCGGGATAATTTCGATGTCGCCATTCCTGCTGTGGCTGAGGACAAAGACCAAAATTAGGACGTCGTCTCAGTCTGGACTACCATCGCCACCTTTCTTCTGCAATTACATCGTTGCCGCCATGCGGCTATTTCGCCATGGCAGATGCTCTACGACCGTTGCACGCCACTAGGTGGGTAGTTTCGCTCATATTAGCGTTTGTAGGCGTATGTGCTGCTGTTGCTGGTTGTGAATATCGAGAGGGTGTGATGGTTGGCCGGAAAACCGAGAAAAGCCACCACCACCACCGTGAAGTGGTGGCTGCCACCTTGTACCACCGCCGGCCGCCACAAGGATGGTTGTGCGTGTGTGTGTTACATTGTATGTGTGTTTTATTGTGGATAAAATGTAGTATAATGCATTTGTATGGCCGGAAAACCGAGAAAAGCCACCACCTTTACCACCGTGAGGTGGTGGCTGCCACCTTCTGCCGCCACCAGCTGACATGTTGGGTGGCGGTGTGCATTGTGTTATTGGATTGCTAGTTTAGATGCTTGAACATGTTTTGGTTTAGAATCATAACCACCACCGCGAGGTGGTGCACTACCCGAGGTGGTAGTGGGTGGTGCCCGACTTAATTAACATTAATAGACCTAAAGACATAACCAATGGACTAATTGGAACGCGATTGGGTTGGAAACCCTAATTAGGGTTTAGAAAACCCTAATTTTGGATATGTTAATTTGGAATTATCGGGACCCGCATGTTTGGACTAGTGGATTGGAATTATGGATTAATCCCGACCACATTGGATGGTTGACCTAGTATATTGATGGACTTAATTGATTAAGTCATTAATGGGTTAAGCAAGAACACTTAACCCTTATCGTCATTTTATGTGAAAACCCAAATTTTGTTTGGGCCTTTAGTTGGGCCTTTTTGTTGGGCTTTGGTGATTGGGCTATTGATGGGCCATCCAAGAACAAGTATATGGACTAGAATATTTGGATGGGCTTTAGGGTAAGGCCCATGTAAGGCGCTTGGGCCCAATTTGGAAAATTAGGCC